TGAAGCCCTCCAGCTCGCAGGTGAAGCCCTCCATGTACTGCTGGTCGGCCGTCTGCGGGAATTCCTCGTCAGAGGGGGGGGCCACCCCCGCTTCTACCCGCCCCCGGGGTGGGTTTGGGGGTTTTTTTTACCTTAATTTTGGTGAAAAACTGCCGGAAGCAAGCCCTGGGGTCCACCTTGAGGCTCCTGGCGAGCTCCAGGATGAACTGCATGGTGATGGTCTGGTGGGCGACCTGCTCCATCAGCGCGTGTTTCTGCCGGGGGGGCACGAAAAAAAGTCAAGACGACCCCCTTAAACCCATGCCCAGACTCAAGGAGTCTCTTATTTCAACTACAATTATTCCTGGAGAGGTTAAATCGGGATATTCAGGAAAAAATTCCAAAGGGGCAATGAGTTTTGGGACAGACATGGAGGGGGTGTGTTAAAATTTGGGGGTGGAGGCGCCTTCCTGGAGGGAGGGGTTAAAATTCGAGAGGGGAAAATCCAAATTAAAGTTAACCCCCAAATTCAAAGTTCACCCCCAAACGACAAGTTAAAATTCAGGAGTGGAAATCCCAAATGAAAACGTAACCCCTACATTAAAAGTTAAAATTCAAGAGTGGAAAATCCAAATTAAAATTAGCCCCCAAAGTAAAAATTAAAATTCAAGAATGGAAACACCTTCAGGAAGGGGTCTAAAATCAGCAGATTTGGGAACTCCCCCTCTTAAATATTTTTCTTCCCCAACCTCGAGGATTTCTACGACTCCACCAAAAAAAAAAAAACACCACACAAAAGAAAAGGTGCCGGAAACATTTTATATTTAATTTATTTTTTTTTTGGCCCCCCTCTCCTGGTTTCTCACCTCTTCCACCTCCAGATCGATGCACCAGATGACCAAGTAATTAGCGGTGTCCTCGCAAACGAGGTGAGGGTTGTCCGAGAGGTATTTCTGGCTGTCGTCCCAGCGCCGCAGCATCCCTTCAAAGCGAGGGCAGCCCCAGTTAGCGGAGGCAGGAGTTGGATTTTTTTTTTGTTGTATTTTTTTAATCCGTTCGGTAAAAAATAGAACGGCCTTTAAAGCTCGTCCAAAAAAAAAAAAGAAAGAAGGGGGGGGAGGCAGAGATGACTCATCCTGAGTTAAAATTAAGCCACCCTCAGGGAGGGAAAAAACCAATATATGAAAAAATAAAAGAATAAACGGAAAAATAAAAAATGAAATCACCAAAAAAAAAAGAAAATGTAAAAAATAAATCAAAATATATATAAACAAAATTAAAATACAAAAGCAAAGATTAAATAAAAAATAAACTGACAAAAAAATAAATAAATGGAAAAATAAAACCTTAATAAAAAAAATGAAAAAAAAAATCTCGCAGATGATGGAACATCAGAGCAAGTGGGGAATCCCAGGAAGGGGGTGCCTCCCTCCTCCCCCAAAAAATAAAAGCCAAAACTCACCAAAATGTTTGATCTGCTTCTCATTCCTCTCGACGAAGGACAAGTGTTTCTTCTCCTTCTGTTCCTCCGTCTCCTCCTTCTCCTCCGGTTTGACGTTGAAAACGCTCTGAGAGGGGAGCGGGAGCGCCGTGAGACGCCGGGAATTTGGGGGGAAGGGAGAATACAGAAAGGGGGGGCCCCCCCAAGCTCACCTTGCTGAAGCCGTCTTTGCTGAGGGTGTCGACATTCCAGGGCATCTTCCTCTCCTTCCTTTTCAGCTCCTCTAGTTTGTTCTCCCAGGTTTTCTCCTCGTTTTTCAGGTGCTGAGCTTCAGCCTGGAGCTTTTCCAGCTCCCCTTTCCCGCTCTCGGGATCCGCCACCTCCAGCTCCTTCAGTTTTTTCTGGCACTCGGCGAGTTTCCGTTTGCATTCCCGGCAGCCTTTATCCAACTCATCTTTCTCCTTCTGGAATTGCTCCATCCGCTCCACACGAGCCTGAGAAAGGGAAAACCACGGGCAGGATGGGGGACACACATCGTTAAAATCCTCGTTAACCCCAAGGATCCCTTATCCCTGTGGAATTCCGGGGGGGAAGGGCAAAGACGGGGAGACTTACACTCCCAAAAACTTATTTCTGAGGAAGGAGGTTTTTGGGGGAAGCAGAAGGCGGCAGCTTTGTCCCCAGTGAGGGACACAGGGAGGAACCAGGGGGGCTTGGGGACGGGCCCTCGGCTCTCCCAGTCCCAAAAGGGTCCAGGAAATTCCCCCCTGGGGGGATGAGAGAGGGATTGTGACC